CAGGTTATTAAGTCTTTACGAAGATGTCCTACGGCGGCCATCAAATATCGCTCTAAACAGCCATATTCTCGGTTACATCAATTATGCATTCGAAAAGCAATGAAACTCAGAAATAGTTCAAATTGAACATAATATTACAAAAACAAAGAATGAAATGACTGCAAAAAATCTGAAATCAATTCAGAGAGCGAAATGAGAATTATGCACGAACCAATGATGACTTGAATTTGACGATCCGGGCAGACAAGTACCAGTGAGATGTGTCGCAAACTTTCAAGTGGCGGCACAACGGGCACTTGCGATAAACGATTCATTACCTCATGAACACTGCTCACTTGACGTGAACTCAGACTCGACGTTATCCACGCTACAATCACAAAATTTCACGTAGTTACAAAATAAAATTGTTTACTTCTAACACCCCACAGGAATAAGTATAACAATATTCTAAAATGGCACGCATTAAATGCAGTCAAACCACATAAATAGTCGATTAGGGAAACTAAAATATAACGATTGCTAATTCGGTAGATTCATTACTAAACTGATTAATGAAATACACGTAACGATAGATACCTTCATGGGCCAAATTCTCAATGAATGGAGTGACATGTTTTCCGCGGAAAAGTGTCACGAACTGAAAAACACTGATCAGCTCGGGCTCCCATTCAGCTTTATCGTTCAAAAGTGACATAATCGTGTCAATTACTGAAATGAGAGCGATTATGGTGTCATTATATTGCATATTGCAGTAATCATAGCGATCACTCGAATTGACGTTAATCGAATCGAACCATTCGAGGATTGAGTAGCGCCCAGAGGGTTAATGTTGAAGGAATATTGAAAGCAGAATGGAATATTAACGAAGCAAGCAATAAATTCAAAAAATACCATTATTAACAAGGTCCGGATAGCATCTTTCGACAATAAGACCGAAATGTGAGCGAATCTGTCGTCGCAGGGTCTCCATGGGCACAATGAATGCGACATTCAACGGGAACACAGTGGACAGCCAAACATCTCGCACCTCTGAGTCGACATTCAAGTCAGCCATCACTAAAATCTCAAGCTTGCGTTACAACCTGAACATAAAAGGGGTGAAAACT